GTGCACATGTGCACTAACTCTACTCTTACATAACTTGTTTACCACAGACATGCTGAAACATATCCAGCCGGATATGAGGTGAGAGGACCTGACTAAACTTACTCCATTTTCCTCAAACGTTGTTTCTGGGAAAATGAACTACTATCTATCTATCTATCCACAGACATTTTTATATCTGTAAAAAACTATGAATTTACACTATCTTTAAATACAATCCCAAATCACAGTTTATACTATTATTATTCCTTTTTATATTTCTAACTTTTCTTCAGTAGTGAAAATGTTGGCTCTAATTATCCTCACTGCTTTGACTTGTTTGATCAATCCCTCTGTGTAAAACCAATCTGCTGTTGTCTTTGCCACCTACACTCTCTTTGCAGACAAGATTTTTAAACACCCCACAGCTGCATTAGCCCTAATACCACTTGCCTGTCTATTAGTAGGAGGAGGTAGTCTCCACATCCTGCACTCCCATGTGGGGACACTCTCCTCAGTCCACTCTACTTTCAACACCCCATGCTGGGCTTTTCTCTCCACCCCACACCATGAATGCCATTTCCATACGGTGTGGGCTCCAACACCTAGTGCAACACCTCGGCTTTCTCCTTCTCTGTGTTGCATGTTTTTTCTCATGAACCTGCTTGGGTCAAATGTCCTAAACCCAGCAATTAAGAACTGCTTTATCTTAGAAACTAGAAGAATTTGGTGATGTAGGAATATGCAGGTTTATGGAGTGATCCAGCAACTCAGAAAATATCTGGCATGGAAATGTGTAATGACACAAACAGCTAGGTAAGTAGCTGAGAATTTTTGGCTTATGACACAAACAGCTAGGATATGCAGGTTTATGGAGTGATCCAGCAACTCAGAAAATATCTGGCATGGAAATGTGTAATGACACAAACAGCTAGGAAAATAGCTGAGATTTTTCGGATTTGGAGGGAGAATATCCCTGATGTTAGATGGCCTAGATGGAAGTGGTGAAAAAAGTACTCAGAACTGGAGAACAAGAATCACTTGTCTAGAGATGACAGGTTAGTGATGGCATATACCCTCCTTGCAAATCATCACACTATATTTTGTAAATTATATTTTTATTTTTTTTCTTAAATAAAATAAACACATAAATCCATTACATATCTATCTGTTTTTTATTCTTATACCCGACTACATATTTGGTTGGAAGTGCTGATGATTTACCATTTCAAGGACTTTAGGGAATTAGACCAGAAGAACGACTCCCTGGTTTCAGTAAGGTCCATAGGGAAATGCAGGGAATTTTAAAATTTCTTGTATTTTCTGTAGATGTGTTTCTCTGATGAAAAGCACACAAGAAAAGCAGGTCATGAACCATAAAGACAGCAATATAATACTCTACCCACAGGACAGCGGAACAATTCTGTTCCGTGGCCCCCAGGGAGAAAGTCTTCATCTACAGGGAAATTTGTGCTATCATAGTCAGTCTCAGGACACCTCGGCATCTGCTGTGTTATTGAGATAAGTCATGCTTGAAGCTGTGCAGATTTGCATGTTCCCAGAGCACAGCCCACTGTCCTGAAGATTTATTCACAGGCTGGTCATAGCCTGTCCAAGAGCCAGTCCCAGGGAGGGCACAGCATAGACATGAGGAACCCCACTCAGCTCCTGGGGCTCTTGCTGCTCTGGTTCCCAGGTAAGGAGGGAGAATATTAGGAATTTACTCATTCTGTGATGTCAGTACCAGCTAGCTCTTCAGGAAGGTCCCCTTATAACATGATTAATTGTGTGGATGTTTGTCTTTATGTTTCCAATCTCAGGTGCCAGATGTGACATCCAGATGACCCAGTCTCCATCCTCCCTGTCTGCATCTCTAGGAGACACAGTCACGATCATTTGCCAGGCCAGTCAGGGCATTAGCACGTGGTTATCCTGGTATCAGCAGAAACCAGGGAAGTCTCCTAAGCTCCTGATCTATGCTGCATCTAATTTACAAAGTGTGGTCTCATCAAGGTTCAGTGGCAGTGGATCTGGGACAGACTTCATTCTCACCCTCAGCAGCCTGGAGTCTGATAATATTGGAACTTATTACTGTCAACAATATAATATTAGACTCTGAAGAGAAACCTCTCTGCTTGCCCTGGTACAGCTGCCTGAATGCTTTTTACTTTGTCGTTAGAGCAGGTACCATAAAGCAAGATGTTGGAGAATTCAAGGGAACAGGTTGCAGTGAAGGGCTCTTGGACCATGAGCACCTGAGATACACCTCATGCACCAAACATAAGACCCCCTTAGCTGCAAACAGTCTTGGCATGGGAGAACCAGCAGGAGAATAGAAGAGTTTTGCACGCCCTCTGCACAACCAGACGTGACAGAAGAGAAAGCTGAATGAAAGCTCATCCTAATTCTCCCAGCTTTACCCACATTTGTTCATCAGTTATATTCATTCACCATGACTGCCAC